AACACCAAAAGGTAACACTTTAAAGCGACAAAGAAATGTGGCCTGCTCTCTTAATGGGGACCGCAATGCATGGTGCAATTCTTCCTGGGAGTTGAGAGCACGAAATCTAGCCCTAGGCTACCAAAGGGTAGAGGAATTATAAGGGTAGACAAGCACTTTATATCATCTCCCTGTTATGCTTGTGGGCTTAATACGCGTCTGCTGTACATACTTGTTTATGGAATAAAATTTCTGTTTGTAGCCGGGCGTGAGAATTACACGCATTTTGAAGTCTAATTTGACATTAATTCAATACCCTCAGGATAGTAGGCATTAAACTCTTGTTCTTCCTGTTTGTTAGGGTGGTGTCGTGTGAGTGTGTCTGGCTGTGTATGTGCATTTAATTGTGGTTGGTTCACTCAGCGCAAAGTTTCTCTTAGACGGTGCTAACTTTTTGTTAAACAATTAATTAGCATCGATACGTTCGTCGGCTAGTAATTGGCAATTGACTCTTAATTCTCATCGGTGTATAAGCTATAATTCTGGAGTTTACTGACCCAAAAGTTTACGTTGCAGTTACGGCTACAGCTGATTGCCACCTTGATCGCAATGAAAGCCTTAATTAGTTAATTTGGCACTTAGATTATTTATTTGTGAGAATGAGAAGAGATTTAATTTTAAAATTGGATCATAGATGGACCATGAATACTTATAATGCAATCAAATTTACATATTGTATTAAAGTTTGCTAGATTTTCATTTAAAAGAATAATACGTTTCAATCGGATTTAATCAGCTTGGTAATATTTGAATCTCAGTGTTGATTATGAGCTAGGAATATTAAAATTAGTTTTCAAATTGAATATAGTTATAGATATCTGCGATTGAAACACAGATTCCCGGAATTTTTTTATCTTATATCTGTCAAGATGTTTCTGTATTCCTTTTAGTGGACAGATGTCTTATTATTTGAAACGTGTGTTATTGCTATTCAGTCCGATTCGTTTCGCTTAAGAAATTTTCATTTCTGTCCATTTTTCTTGGTTTGTTTGCATAACTGTAACCTAATTTGTTAAATCTCAACCATAAATTTGTCCAAATGCTGGCAATTTTGGCCAAACACCAAACTAACTGGCCAAAGAACAAACTTGAAGCGATGAAGCTTACTTTGGTCAAAGGCAAATACCACTGATTGTGACAATCAGCGTGACAATAAAATTGGCGGCCAGTTGCAGACGATTGGTATCCGGCCGGAATTTCAGATTAAGATTGAGTCTGGGATCGCTGGGAGACAAGAGCCTGGGCACAGCTTGTAGCTTTTGAAGAAAAACGATGGGCAGTCAGCTTTAAACTTTGACCATTTCCATGCCAACGAAATGCCAAAAGAATTTTAAAATTCCGACATGTCAACGACAATATGGAGGCGCTGAAGGGGCGTGGCAACCAAAATGACAGGCTTGTGACACGCACAGACCAACTGTCACACCCGCTGCATATGTGTTTGCGTGTGTGAGTGTGGGTATGTGTGAGATGGAGGGTGTGTATGGGTGGGTGTTTGCGTGGCTAACCCTTGCCAAAGCGAATTTTATAAAATTGTCATGGTAAAAAAAAGCCAAAGAAAGCTAAACAAAAACAAAACAAAGCAAAGTAGAGCAAAGCTAAAGGCACGCTACGATGATGACTTTCTTTTTGTCCCTTTTTATTTATTTTTTATTTTTATATATACATATATATATATTGTGTTGTTGCTCCCAGTTGCTTGAGGCGTTATTGTTGCTGATGTTGTTGTTCTCGTTGTTGTAGCAGTAACATTATCTAAGCTAACAAATTGTCAACACGTACAAATGCGTTCACTCAAACGTAAACGGGGTAATAACCATTTTTCGTAATAATTTTATGTCATAACAAATCTGGGCTATGCCCGTACATATAAGCGTTATTTTCTTCTTTCCCTTTTCCCTTTTTTTACCTATGCAAGTACAGCGCTGAGGTCCCAGCTGTAAGCGCTGCAAAGACCGAGAGAGAAGACCCAAATAAAAGATGCGATGATGTGTCTAGCATGACTATTCAGTGGGATATCTAATTCCCAGCGGCTTAGGCCGAGACGATACGATCATCAAGGCCGACTTCTTATTGCCGGAAATAGTTGTTTTCTTGAATTGCATTCGATTGTAAGTGATGAATTTTCATGTGTATTTGGCCTCCTTCAAAACATTTACTCACATATATGCATTTTCATTTCCGAAATGGAGCATATCCTTATTATCTCCATTAAGATCCCTACAATACAAATGCCTTCAGTATCCCTTCAGTATCTTTTGAGTCTCGCTTGAGTCTACATACAGATCTAGCTGCTCATATATACTGCAGTCAAGTAAAGTCGGCTGCAAATACTCTTTCCACAGTTAATTAATGGCTTAACACATTGTATCGACTTGATCGACTTAATATTTAAAGATCATAAGCAAAGAAACTTCAAAATTTTATTAAACTTTCCTGTGAAATTACGAAGGAATCCTAGGATCATATAATGCTACTTTTCCTTTTTTATAATTTGTGAAATGCACAGAAATAATCAATAGAATATGCAGTAAGTAAAAACTGAGTACAAACGCTTTCTAAAGTACATATACGCGAAAAATCATATATGTAAAGCTATAAGATGGACAGCCATGCGGGCATTACGTAAACCCAATACTTTACTATTGAAATACAGAATACGAATACGAATACGAATGATACTCTACATCCCGTAAAATACAGCATGACTAGGGTGCATACTTGTCTACAGAAAATTACACGGCATGTCGTAGTCGGCTATATACGGCCATTTAGTAAATTTATCATTCTTCAAGGCGAAAACTATGACTAACATTTCAACGCCAAAAGCGTCAGCCTGCTGCCAGCCAATTCAGGCAGTCGAGCGGCAGTCCCGGCTGGTGTCTTTGGCCCACCGCCTCCCAGCAGAGTCCTGGAATACAAAACGCGCCGCTCAACTTAAGAAATAAACTAAACTTGTCACGTAAGCAAAGTTTATGAGCAAAAAGCAAAAGAAAAACCCAGTGATGCCAACAATTTCGCCAGCTCGCCAGCAGCAGTTGCACAGTGGAAACATCTCGTTGGACACGCGCCATGCCCCCAAATCATTTGCACAGTTGCCTACTTGCCCCGCTGCCTGCTGTTGTCGCAAAACTGGAGCAATTGGACGCTTTGACTGCGTTTAACTTTTAGCTGGCTGGATAACTGCAGTCCGGGAGTCTGCTGGCAGCAGTGTTGGGGCGTGGCAATGTCACTGATTGACCAAATGATAGACAGGCGAATAGATGGCGCTGTTCCAGCTTCAGAGTGCTTACATCTTGCAGTTTTGGCTTTGATTGCAACTTTCTTTTGCCCATTTAGCACGTCTTAGCATTCGTCGATTTCAATTCTTACACTCATTCTCATATCAAAGTCCCTGCCACAACCCTGTCGGTTTTTTAAATATGTATAAAATTTGTATCCTTTGCAGTGCACATATCGATTCTTTTCGCAATTCGCCGGAATATATAATGTATGCAGCTCTTGCTTATGTTTTTGGAGTTGTTGCAATTGGCAGAATAGTTAATAATTTCGTAATGATTCAGCAAAATTGAAAGCTGATTTGACATAAGCAGATTAATGACAATTGGCTTGTCAATTAAGTTTTCATTGGAATAGGCTTAATATCTTGAAAGCCGAAGGAAACTGCACTTGCCATTAGACAAAGCATCCTCATAAAGTACCCTTATGAATTTACAAACAAGTTGACAAAACTTTATATATTAATTATTTGATGTTTATGCCTTGGCGATTTTTTCAATCTATAATATCTCAGATCCCCGAAAATCATTCCTTTTAATAATTGCAGAGATGTTCTTCACGATATAAACTCGATATCCGCTTAACTCTTTGTTCTTTATTCAAATAAATGGAATGTTTAGGTGCCTCCAAGTCAAGCACAAAGCTACAATTGCGTAACACTTTCTAATTGGGACGGGCATGTTTGCGGTGCCTGTTCAAACCCCTATGGGCCGCCCACCAGCTGCCTTCCATCTCATTAGGGCACGCACAATTTGTCAGTGCAAATGCCAAAAGCGGCGCCTAATTAGATTTTTGATAAGTGTCAAATAGCGACAGCTTGGACAGGGCTTTTAGAAATGTTAATCGGATATATGCATATTATTTGCGAAATGAGCTTGAAATTTGCGCTTATACATGAAATTAACCAAAGCAGTTTTGCGTATTAAATGTTTATGCAATAATACCTGATTGACAAGCCGGACAGCTGGACGTTGAGTCCCCCATTGGGATGACCAATGCCGGTTGCACTGGTCCCTTATGTCTTGCGCATGTGTCAAAATAAAATCCGCCAGCAGTCCAGTAAGTTTACAGCGATTTGGCTCTAAGGATTCGGGGGTTGCCATGATTTTAATCAAAGGTGCCATCATTAAAGAAACATTTTGTTTTTGTTTTTGTGGCCTTGAAGGTTTCTGGTTATTTTGCAGTGCCAACGATTTGTGCAAGTAGATTTTTAATCCCTGGGATGTGGAACACGATCATTGCCGAAACATGTACTTTATAAGTACACACATGCACATGTATATGTTTACCTAACAACACGTGTCGCTGTTTGGATTTCCTTTACAATGCAGCAAGCATTTGGTGCGAGGATGATTCATTTGGATAGCTAACAAAATACTTGGCCCTGATTATATTTACTTAGCGTTATATGTATATATTAGCTCAACAAAAAGTTATGTGCACGCTTGATAAATTTGTTTCTAACTTTATGCAACGTCAAGCCAACCACTTGGCGGTATCCAGCAAAAAGTGACTAAATTGAAAAATTAATTATGAAACAGGTCAATTTCAGAGCCGATCAATTAAAAACCTATATAAAAACGTTCGCAAGCTATTTCCATATTTAACGCAAAATGAATTTCTGAAGTTACTGTTAGCAACATAAAAAAAAAAAAATAACGTTATACTTTGCAATACAAGTTGATCGCATCTATTTGTACGATTTCATCAAAATTAATATATAAGCCTCGTAACGTACAAATAGTTTGTTTTTTATGTTAACGGTCGATGTCATCTATATCATCGTTGTCCTGCCGCTTTCTCGTGACAATATTCACAGTTGGCCTGTTATAGAACTCGGGTGTGTTCCTGAACTCGTAGTCCTCATCGATTCCAACAAAATAGGTCGGTAGTACCCCACGTCCTTTCACAAAGGTCATGCCACGGTAGTTACATTCTATGCCGTATCCGCGCAATATTACGGCAGTTTCTTGGGTTATATGTATGTGGCCAGATACACCGGTGGAATCCATACGTGAGGCCATATTGACTGGATTCCCCCAAATATCATAGTGTACCTGCGAAGCGCCCACAACACCAGCCATTACCTCACCACAGGATATTCCTATGCTCATATCTGCACTGAAAACCCCGCGATCGATAGGAAGTTTATTATAGACACTGCTGCACATCCAAAGGGTTCGCAGTAGATCCAGTGCAAAAGTAGTAAGAATAAATACCACTTCATTTCGAACACCCTCCACATTGCTCTGATTTTGAAAGGCCGCAAGAAAGCGTTGTGCACGGGCAACTACAATATTCATTTAAATTCAAATATTATTGCAGTTGCTAATGGGATTGCTTACCCTCCTTGATAATAGAGTTATTATTGTGCCCGTCGATGTGTCCAGAGAAACGTGGATCCAAGCCACAGGCCGCCATATATGTGCAGCCCACAATTTTGATTTTTTCGACTAAATAGTCCTTCCTATAATAATACAACTACAGCAAAGATAAAGGGCGTTTGCACTAAAAAATTGAACAGGTTTTAAGGCTCTTACTATTTTATCAAATTCGGTTATTATCTCGTTGAGTACCCGTAAGTTGGCCAAGTCCAGTACAAAGTTTTGCAGAGAAGCGAACATGACCGCCACCATTTGGTAGTCCTCATAATAAAGCTCGTGTCTTGCTATTGAGGTCAGGTAGACACTGACTGCATAGTAATAATACAATTTAAAAAATGTGAAGATATTATAATTTTTATAGCAGTCGTACCGACATGGGCAGGCAAAATATTTTGCAGGAGAATAGTTATCGATTTATTGGTAATGACCGCATCCTGCTGTTTTTTGAGCAGCTCTACTCTCCAGCTAAATGCAACGACAAAATAATTTGGCACAGAACATCGGAGTAGGTCAATTACTCACTTGTAGTTGACCTTGCTATTAAACTCGGCCTGTCGCTCCATCAGGTAGAAACTTACTATCGTTATTGCAATTATGTAGCTGTGTGCGTATTCCGATAAAAAGTAGGGATTGGTTGTCTTACTATGATGTATTACGTATTCAAATTGAAAAAACATGATGATCACATAAGTAAGCCCTTCCAATACGCTAACTATTATCTTCACCATCCAGGGAATGCGTGTAAATATTACACTCATACCGATCATAAGGCACGCCATGTTGGTGAGCACCCAGGGATGAAAACACATGAATAGATCCGGCTCATAGTGATATAATTTGTCCTCTATGTGCCGCACCTGGAACTCCTCTTGATCGCAGTCCACCTGTAGAGGGCATGGATTAGGCTACAAGGCTACAAAACACAAATATACTCACCAGCACCACACTGATAACACCGAAATAACCTATTATCGTGGACATGTAAATACACAATCGGCTGATAAGATTACCCTGCATAAACTCCGCAATTCGGAATATGGTACAGGCCCATTTTGAAAAATTGTGTGAATCTTTCTTGTATCTCCAATAGCACATCTTTTTGAACCACGTTATAAAGAGCGGCACAGTCATCGTTGTAAAAACGATGATGTTAACATAATAGCACAAATTGCCGCTATCATGATAGACTAATTGTATGTAGATCAAGGAGATGCCAACAAACCAAGCTAATAGTATACTGTATTTTAACATGTAATCGGGCTGCCGCATATAGTTATACTCGAGTCTAGGATCGCGAAAGTGCAAAAAGAAAAAATCGACAATTGGGCGAGATGCATTATCCATATTATGTGGTTTATTCTTTGTTTTCTTCCAGAATCGTATAAAATCCCTAATGCTGTGGAAATAACGGCAACATTAGCCCAACTATCAGATTAGTTGATGTAGACTTACTTAAAAGTACCAACCGGCAACTTTGCATATTCATCTTGTAATTCTCTTTCAATTGTTGAGGTCCGTTCTGCGGCTAAGTGTTTAAAAGAGTTGGCGTCATCGCCTTTAAGATCATAGTCCTCTAATTTAATATCGATTGCCGCAATAAGGAAAGTGTGAATATTATGACTTGACAAATATGGATCATTCACGGCCTCCTCTGTGCCGGGAAGAATCTCATATGTATTATCTAGGATCGATCCGAGCGTTCTTTCGCTGATATGAATATGGCCCGGACGGCCGGTCGATTCCAATTTGCCAGCAATCATCACATCATTTCCTAATGTAGAACAGAAATAAAGTTAATTAATGTATAAACATGAGAAACTTTATAAGATGCCCACCCCAAATGTCATACTGCAGCTTCGCAGCTCCAATTACGCCAGCTAGTAGACTGCCCGAATTCACACCAATTCGCATGTCGATGTTTAAATGACGATTCGATCTTAAAAATATCAGTTATGCCACATTTGGGTGAAGTAGGAATCTTAGGCTACTAACCGAACTTCGCGAATATGCGCGATCATACAGTGGCCCAGGTCTATGCAACATTTGGCGTGATCCGGGTTGGGTCTTGACAGACCTGCTACACAATAATAGCAGTCACCTAAGAATTTGATGCGTTGTACCTTAAAGTGAGCGGCAGCAACATCAAATCTGCCATACAGATCATGCAGCAATGTCACCAGTTCATTAACAGTGAGTGTTGTAGTCAGATAGGTGTAGTTGACAACATCTGCATAGAGGATGCTGACCTCGGGATGATTTTGAATGGCCATGATGCGCTCCTTTATGTTGTGACTACGATGGCCTCGACGCTTTCCAGCCAACGCAACACGGCTGCGTATGTCTTCTTGGAAGGGCCGTGCAATTTGAGGCGGCAAAATGCTGTGAAGCAAACGCTGCTCCTGCTTACGGGCGCTTCTCAGCCAAATTTCCTCCATCACATACTGCTGCCGGTCGAGGAACGATGATCGCACAATGATGTCATTCATTAATCGAAAAAACAAGCCCAACATGTTAAAGCAAATATAATGTAGCACATCCACAACCATTTGGTTAAATTGGACAACATTATTCATGTGGTAAAGATGTTTAGAATCTAAATACGCAAAAAAATAAGTAATATACGATAAAGATACGAAAACTCCAAGAATAAGCGGCCCCTTAATAAAGGGAATAGGCATAAACAAATATATACTATATATAACGTATGTGTCATAAAAAGAACCGACATCCCAGTTGTCCGTGGACTTATGGTATACATGAAGAATTAGATCTGGGGGAACATTAACATCAGCCTCAATTAGTAGATTGCACATAGTTTGATACGAACCCACCGAAACCATAAGTGACGCAGCAACCACCGAGCTTGCGTACATTATCCAAGAATGCTTTCTTATGATCTCTTCTTTAAAGTTGATACTCAGCACTGTAATGATGAGCAATGCAGCTCCTATATAAAAGCCAATATCGATTTGAATTATAGATAGGTACTGTATGCGCAAAGGGATGATAAGTGTTGTCACAAGTAACTAAAAGTAATCAAACCTGACATGTCATTATCAACAGAAAACAGTGAATCAGGGTCACAGCCGAGTGTAAAAATATAAACACTCCGATTGAGTTGCAGCGAAGACGCTTTTCGTACAAAATATACTCTTTCTCCACACCAACCTCCTTGCATTTTTTCTAATATTTGTATGCGTAAAACTGTATAAGAATAAATATGGACTATAGGAGCGGCGTGCAAATACTTTACTTTCAAATATATACGCTCCCAGACGACTTCTTGGGTAAAATCCAATTTGCAACTTTTTCTGTTTCTCGGTATCATTTTCCTTTTCGAAATGTACGCACTAAATATTCAAGGAGTGTGTGATTTAATAAAATTTTAACTATTCAATACAACAACTGTTTGAAAAGGAACTCATCGCAATCTATAAAAGTATTTGTCCTGACGGACAGACTAAATGATTGGCGACCAACACAAATCGTAAGAGCTAGGAAGCAGAATTTCCTCCTAAGGTTATCTTATATGGTTTGTCTGTGTACTATTGAGGTTATCGGCCTTAAATATCATAAAGCTCCCATAGGAATAATCGGTCGGAAATATTGCGTTTGCACATAAACACTTAAGACATAGCCCAGCAACGGTAAGCAATCTTCGTCGTGCTGAATGTAGCCGTTTTATCTTGTTTATAATTACGATCCAATTTGTGCTAACTTAACGCGTTCGTCTTGCGATTCACAACGTGCCACACCCACCACTTTTCCTAAGTGGGAGACAAAAGTATATTCCTTGGCCTATTCTGATCCAGGACAGAAGATGCATATTTTTGTACGCAAGTATTTATCTGGGCATGACGAAGGGAATGAAGAGATTGAGGAAGAGAGAGAGAGAGAGAGAGAGAGATAATATGAGAACTAATTGAAACGCCTTGGCAAAAGTTGGGAGCGACAAGCACTTAATGCATTTAATATAAGTCGAAGTGTTGCCTTACCGTTAAGTATGGCGAAAGAGTAGTGTTGGAAAACAGAAGAACGAAGGCAGAGGAAAGCAATTTAAATCTCACTAATTACTTGGGCGACAAATTACGCAGCGAGACAGCAGCCCCCACCCCCACCGAACACCCACACACACATATACACAAGACGGCGTATTTATAAAGATTTTTGCACTTAAAAACAATGAACAGGTGTCGGACTGTTCGCCCCACTAGTCTTCAACCGGCGTCTTGTTGTTGAAGTTGTCCTCTTATTTGAAAAATTAAGTGTCATTTGGTTGTCTCATGGGTTCGCTGTTTTCAGTGTATCCTCCAGACGCTGCCTAGACATATTCTAGGCAGCTGCTACGTAACGCAACTGATTTTGTTGCTTTTTGCCTTAGCTTGAGGTTATCTGGCGGGCGTAGTTTTATTCCGTCTCCGTGCCAGCCTGTGCTTGAGACAATGAGCTAGTTGGGCGCAATTACCTAGGTGGCAAATGAATAAAGATAGATTGAGCGAACGCAAGATATGAGAGGGTGATTAACTAGTGACTAGTTTTTTTTTTTCCATATATGGTAATTCATGGTCTTCCCCAATCAAAGCTTACTGCTTTAAATATGAGACAACCACTCGATTTGACGTGGAAATTTAGATCCAAATTTTTTAACTATATTTAAGATAGATATTTGAAAACGAGTTTGGAGTCCAGTAAATGAAGAATTATAACTTGGAACACTTCCACCCATTTTAGTTCCGTGGGGTAAGGAAGCCGAAAAATAACTTTAACTTAATTTTCATTAGTCTTCTTTTATATTCATACTCTCGGAGAACATATATACCAAATTTTACACTGGGCAGTCCTCCTCCTAAAGAATTTGTACACACTTGAGCTGCATCAATATATAGGTTTATGGGAATTTTCTAGTCTTATCGAGCATACTCCACCACGCAGTCGAGTATGCAGACTCGTTGTTCTGTGCAGGAAATTACCTACATAATATGAAAGGTGGGGAATGCACTATTTAATTCGTAACATATTTCGTGACTGAATTATAATACTCTTTTGAAAGCGAGAAATAAAACAGCCATAATGTTGCATTACGTGTGGAAATTACTTAAAAAGATTTTCCATTGTTCGCTGGCTGCACGTACTCTTTGGTATTCTTGAATGTGTGTGTGTGTGTATATGTTGAGATGTGTTTCTTTAATTGTTTTTCATTGGTTGGCAAACGGGTAACGGCTGCTGTTTATTTTCTGCAGGAAAAGTTATCCGTCTCCAGCCATGTGGCAAGTGCCATGGTGTGATACCGACCAAAAGCCAAGAATGCAGCTCCACAGTAAAAATAATGAACTTTTGTGGCGACAACTCCAAATTTATGGCCAATTCCAGCTGGCCAGACCGATCCTGCTTCGAGAAGTTTCCTCGCTGCGCTTTGTCCCAAAAGATACTCAGCACTTGTATAAATCGTGTCCGAATGGTTTTTGTACCCTGTTAATAAATAGAAAACGAGTAAATTGCCTATGGTAAATATTATTCTAGTTGCCTGTTCGAATATAGATAGATAATCCAAACTTTGGATAAATTCTCGTGTGGACCCACGTTCGATTTCATTACTAAGCTTATGCTTCCTTCTTATATTTGCATTTGTAGTTAATAACCTATAAAGGTGCAGATTATCACTCATATCTAAATTGCAGTATTTTCATTGTCCCCGTATTGACCAAGGAGAGTAGACATTACTAATCCAGTCTGATTAGAATACTATATAATATATTAGGTTTCAATTAAAGGTTGCAATTTTTAGTTTATAATAATCTATTTATTTATTCTCAACTTGATGAAGTAAGATCTATACGTGTATTTCACGGCAGCTAGGAGCTGGGTATAAAGTATATCCTGGGCACCGTCTACTGGCAATACAAACATGATTGGCATATAAAAGAAATTATGAGAAGTTAATGTAATTTCTATTTAAATGCTTCTAAAAAGCGTATTCTTTTATGTTTCTTAATTACTGTGGCAAATCTGCCATCTAAACGGATTTAATTTTTAATTATGCGCGAAAATTAAAACATAAATCTATGGAAAAACACTAGATAAAACTGTTGTTAAGCTGCGCCATACTAGAGAAAAAATGATGAAAATTATGATAGCAAGAGCACGAGAATGTGATGCTCCGAGGGCGAAAGTCGAGTCCTGGGGGTCGGGCAGTTCAAGGAATAAAAGCGGTTGCAACGCCAACTCATTTTGGCCAAGCTAAGCTGTATTCATTATATCTAAACTACGCTTTTTATTTGCGCAGCTTTTGTTGTTGTTGTTGTTGCTGTTGCTGCTAACTGAGCATAAATGTCGAAAGTTGCTGTTTTCCTTGTTGGTGGAGGGATTACTGTAGCTGCTGTTGCTGTTGGCTTGTTGTTTGGCATTGTACAACATTTATTGATGCTTGGACAGGCATAATAACAACTAGGAGTAAAAGCAACGCTGGTAAGGACGATACAGTTGCCACGATTTACATTGGGATTAATAAGCAATGACGAGGGCAACGCTGCATTTTATAATAAAATAGGAGACCTAGCAGAGGAGCTCAACAAAAATGCCAACCTCAGCCAGACGATCGAGATGAGGATGCTGACGACCACTTGCAACATTATTAACTACGCTTATACCTTTATAATGCGGATTGGGCGGCGTTTTCCGGGCCGGTTTGCTGTTGACTGTTGCCTGTTGGTGGGCGGAGCTCTGCTTTGGGCTTGCCAAACGCCAAATGCAGTTCTCTGCGTTGGCTTATTAGTATTTAGTATTTTATATGGTCACTGCCTTTAAGTTGCCTTTAAATGCAGTCAACGTTCGACTGCAGTTTCGAGTGCCCCAGCAGCACGACCACCAAGTTATTCTTAAGTCCGTCTTCGCTGCCTGTGACCACTCTGCCCCGCCCACTCTCGCATTTGTCAGCGGCAGTTTTTGTAAGTTGCAGGGAATTCGAGTTGCCTCAAAAAACTTAGCCGCTTGTTTGTTTGCTGTCGTCGTTTATTATTATTATGTATTTTTCGGTTTCAGTCCTGGTTCGCGTTCTCGATTTATACGGTCGGCGAGCGCAGCGCTTGCCGCGCTTTATTTAACTTTGGGCAGTTTGATGGCAGGAAATAGAATTTTAATGGATTTTGTAATATCCTCGTCGACGACAGCGTTGGCAACGGGAAAGGCAATGGCAATGGCAAAAAACTTTACGTTTCTTTGGAGCACTTTATTTTTATATTTTCGGGAACGATTTTTATGCCATTTGCTTGGAAAGTCGCGAGTTTTGTGCTATTGACATTTTTTGGCTGAGGTTTTCCGCAAAGTGGATGGACTAATTAAGTTTATTTTTTCGCTTGTTATGTGTGTGTGTGCCTGGCAGGTTAGTTTCATGTCGTCATAGTCCAATATATATCTAGTTCCATGATAACTTCTTGAATTTAGGTGTGGGGCTCAGTATTAAAGCTTATCCGTTATCTTATAGCCGGATTAGTAACACTTAAATTCAGATAGTCCAATCTTCCAACTAGTTCACAGTTCACAACTGATGTCAACTTGACAGCAGAAAGAATCTGATGACAATGTCTGCGTCGATGACCAGGCTGCGGCGTCTGTCAATAAACAGTTAATATTTTTGTGATGACTCGCAATATGTCAATGACAGGCAGGTCCTCGAAGGGGATCTCAGAGTCACCCAGCCCACACTTGGAATTCAACACAATTTATTCAAATGTTATAAATTACACGATTCGTTCATGTCAAATGTTGAAGCTTCTTCTTTCGCGATGGGCAGGCAGATATCGGCTTGTGATTGTGTGTGTGTGTGGGTGCGTGTCTAGAGCGCCCGTTCACTAATCGTCTCAATTAGACATGGATTTTTGCACAGTTCTTTTTTTTCCTGAAAAGTTCTCAATAAATGCGTTGATGGGAAATGGGCGAAGAGAACTCAGGCGTATAAATTGCCAAAGACCCGCAGCTATTTTCCGGTTTCAATGTCGCCATTGACATTGTCATCGTCACCTCACAGCCAACGTCTGTCGTTACTCGTCAGAGTGGCTGAGATAGTCCTACCTACTCCAACCATGTCGCCTCCATACCCGCAGCTCGGCTGCCTTTGATCGTTTGGCATTTCTGCGGCTCATATTTTTTTGTGCTCAGACGAATTGTCGGCATCCCCCTAAAAATTGTTGCTACTGTTTTTATTATTTCTTTTTTTCTTTTCATAAAACACCCTGTGAAGCTGTGGGGGATGGTTGTGTATCCACCGCTTGGAGTGTGTATGGGGCTGACGTTGATGATTTTTCATTGCTCGAGTTTTAATTTTACACTTGAGTTGAGTCTGGGGCTCCACTAAAAGCGCCAACAATTGCGT